TATAATTTTTAAATATTTAATTAAATTTATATCAAGCTGTGAAGCAATAAAAATAACTTTATTGCTCTTATTGTTTATATAGCTAAATATTTTTAATGAATTATTTATAGTTTAAGCTATAAACAGAATTCATTTTAAAGGCACTCAACTAAATAAGAATATTTYATTTAAATTTAAACTTTATATATATTTTATTATCTTCAATACAAGCTTTTAAGTAAATATTTATTTTATTCTGTCTCCGCATAGTTGAAATCCTTAGCTTAAGTTTCTCAAAACATCGCAGAAATTCTTGAGGTGTCCATTTTCTTATAAGTCACCCTTCGAAAAAAGCTCAGATTCAAGCTCAAAGAGCTGAGCCAGCCATTGACTCAATTATTGTGAGAGTGCGCGAATGCGAGTGCGTGAGAGTGTGAACGTGAGTGTGAGTGAGACGCTCTCTGCTTAGTTTTCAGCTCAATTGACAAAAAAAAAAGAATGAAAAGAAAAGAACTCGTTCGGCGCACGAAAGCAAAAACTGACGACGCGCTGGCTGCCAGTGGCAAAGGGAACTTCAGGCGAGATGGATGCGCGATCAAATAATGATCATTGGCAACAGCAACAGTAAAACTTGCAGAGAGCCAAAAGCGCACAGCCGAAAGAGAATAGCACAGAGAGGGAGCGAACTGCTGCGTGTGCGACCGTGTGTGTGTGAGTGTAAGCATGAGTGAGAGCATGAGTGAGCGCGCGGCGCGCTCGTTTTCACTCAGCGAGACGAGACGAGGCGAAGCGAAGCGAGTCGACTGAGAGCCGAAGAATGCATTCGGCTCGGCGCTCGTGTGCGCGTCTTACCTGTAACTCGAATCAGGTAGAGCCAGACAGTGAGGCGTTAGTCGTTCCACAGCGCTGATCGAGTCGAAAACAATATTGATACTTTGGTCCCGACGCCAAAAGCCGAAGAAAATGAAGCAGCAAAAAAAACTGTGAACAAGAAATTGGCGTAAAAATTTGATCAAACAAAAGAAAATTACAATTTGCCGTGCGTGTGTGCGAGTGTACGAGTGGGTGTGTGTGCCAGAGTGTGCGTTTGTGTGTGTGTCGGAATGTCCATAGCATCAAAACAAAGATACAGCTGCAGATAAAGATATAGCTATAGATAAAGATAAAGCTAAAGTATCTCAAATGTGAAGTGCAACAGCAAAGTTTTCGTTTCTCACTTTGCATAAATTTGTTTGTTATAATTTTGTATTATACTATTCTTGAAATATGTGCTTAACTGTGCCGTCAGCAGAAACTACAACAACAACAACAACAGCAACAGCAATGCGCTGTAAAGCCAAAGCGCAAATTGAATGTAAAAAAGTTTGAAACAATTACAAAAGCAAACACAACAACAAGAAAGTGCCAATGCTTAAAGTATCTTACAGATACTTAGCTGCAGTGTCATGTGCTCTGGCAACAACAACGACAACGACAACGACAACAACAACAACAACAATAAACACACACAATCAGTGGACTCAGCGGCTGCGCCTGCGCCTCGAATGCGGCAATAAAATTTTCAACAAGAATTTCATCTATTTCATCTACAATTATCGCAAGCGAAAAGCAGACAGCACAGACTGAGATTTACAAAGAGACAAACAAGCATACATACATGCATACATACATACCTATATGTATCACCCATGTATATTTATCAAAGATCTATCAAATATTGACGCAAGCGTGATTTATACATAAAAATTGTGTTGGTTACCTTCGACTGCTGCAACGGTAGCCAAAGTGGAAGAAGCAGCAAATAAAACAGCTGTAAATTGTGCAAATATCCATAAAAGAGAGAAACCAAAGCAACTACAACAACAGCAACAGCAACAGCAACAATTGCAGCTGCGATAAGACGCGCTCTCGTAAATCTATCAAGTGTCAAAAGCGGAACTGACTCGCAGGGGGATTGAGTGCCGAGGCAATCAATCCATCAAAATACGCGGCTTACTTAAATTAATACAGAGCTCAAGAAATCAAAGAAAAACTAAATCAATAAACATATACAACACTATATATGTATATATGAATGCACATCGATATATCTATCGAGAAAGGGAAACACACTCCAAGCTAGATTTCGACTTATCCGAAAACATAGGAAACTTTATAAGACTGAGGTGAGTTTGACATTTGGTTCACACACGGAGCTCAGTGCAGCTAGTGCGCGCTCTCACTCCCTCTCGCTATCTCTCCCTCTCACTCGCACACACGCCCTCGCTCTGTGTCTGCCCCGTCGCTATTTGCCTTTAAGCTTAGGTCAAACTTCACTTAACTTTGCCAACTGTGAGAACTGCACACTCACACATACACACACACACACATGTATATACCCTCTCTTTCTCACATTGATCCCTTGTGCCAATATGCATAATCGCTGGGTTACATTTTCATATGATACCAAAATATTCGGTTCGAGCTGCATTTGATATGGGAAAATAAGAAAATACAAAGAAAAGAAAAAAAAAAAAAAAAAAGAATTTAACTTTGGTTAGGGCAAATGTTTTACATAACTCTTACAGGTGTTCGATTATTGAGGGCATTACACTCATATTCAGCAGGCATACGAAAGAGTTAGTATTAATAAAATACCAAGTAAATTGCATGCATAGAATTGATTGATGTATAGCTTGTTTTTGACTAGGAGAGTTTATCAAGAGTAGATCAAATTTAGCTCATTTCAGATTCTTATGAGAAACTGAAATTCACATAAATCTCTATATATTTATATACATATT